GAGCTTACTTCCGTCCAAAATCTTGATGAGCAGTATGCGGACGATGATACTGTAATGGAAGAAGCTGCAGGTAATAATAATTAAAATCATAGTAACGAATTTCTAACTTACAATGTATTGCTACAATAACTAGCACGCGATGATGCTTTCATGTTCGAAGATGCGATCAGATACAAGCACTTTGACCACGATTACAACTGGAACATAATCCAAAAGTTTGGCATAGGCTTAATTAAGCTTCTTGACCATAACGGTGTTTCAAGACAGGTCCAGCGTGATGTCGTAAAGCATGTCAATGGAAACCTTCTTTCCTACATTGATCCTGTTGCTGTCTCAGGTAAATTAAATATTGACTCACAGACTTCCTTTCATACTAATTGCAATTTAGACTTGGGCGGGTTACTTCCTTCTCCAGAGGCTATTCATAGATTACTTGATAAAGGCAGCATTGATTCTGTGAAAATGTATGATGTGTGTCGCGAAGGATGTTTTCTTTTTAATGATAACGTGCAGCAATCACATTGTATCAACCCTGCTTGTGGTGAAGGGCGATACAAAAACCAAAATGAAGCTGAGGAATCAATCCGTGCTGGCGACATTTCACCTCCCAAAGCCTTCCAAACCATGGCTATGTCTTCTGTCGGGGCTTCACTTGCGGAACTACTGGTCGACGACGAAATCCGTGAAGACTTCAAGTACGCAAGCCAATTCAGCGAGTATGATGAAGATGGCGTCTACATTGACATGTTTTCCGGTTCGGTGTACAAAGAATTTCTTCGTCAAAATTTGCTCACACGCAAAGACATCTGCCTTGTTCTTTACGTTGATGGGTTTCCCAACAAATCCAAACCTGGAAGCTCTCAAACGTTGGTCCATTGCATGGTGATGAACATTCCTGCTTCTAAAAGGTTTAGAAATTAAATTTACTTGTATATGTTATCTTAATCAAACTTACCTTTTCGTTGTTAGAGCAAAGGAGTCGATGATGATTCCACTGGCTATTTTACCTGGCCCAAAAAAGCCCAAGTATTTGATGAGTTTTTTGACGCCAATCATCGAGGAAATCAATTCGTTGTGTGCAAGAGGATTCGTCGTTGAAAAAAACAATGAAATCGTGCACCAAAGTAAAGTATTCTTGCTCGGAATGACTGGTGATATTCCAGGAATTGCTGATTTAATGAATCATCGTGGACACACGAGCAAATATGGCTGCAGAATTTGCAAAATTGCTGGCAGACATCCTGAAGGTTGCCGTTACGGTATGTACTTCTTGGATGCAGGTGACATGAGAACCAAAGACGAATTAGTCAACGGCGATGCGGTAAATTATTCAAAGTGTGCACCAATATTTTTAAGATACTAAAGTCAGTATGAATTAGCTATTCGATATGCTTGGTGTTGATCCTGTTATTAGCTCTCTTTCCACCTTCACTGGTACATCTTTTTTTCTTGGCGACGAGATGCATTTGATTGGTAGAGGGCTTGGTACTTTGGTGTATAATCTTTTGGATCCCAAGAAAAACAAAAAGTTCCGTGAATTCATCACTCAAGATGCACAATATACCTTTGGTTTGAACGCACGTGATGACACTATCATCAAAAAGATTGACGAAAAGGTGAAGCAGAGCAGGGTTTACATACCATCAGCTTTTGAGGGAACTTGGGATGGCGGTGTAGGTATCGGAAGAGCTGTCGATTATTTAGACTTTCTCTTGTACATCGTCCCAACCATTGTACTTCCATTGGTCCAGAACAATGAAACCAAATGTGCGTTGATGGAATTGGTGGAGGGATGTTCTATTGCTTTGCAGTGGCGCATTTTTCGTAGGGACATTACAAAAATGAAAGGGTAACATGACAATCAGAGACTAGATATTAAAAATTAGACATTAACGCAAACATTTAGATGTTTTAGTAGTTGGCATGCGTTTTTGAATCGAGAGATTGTTGCAAGTCGTATCAATGCGCGAGTGTTCACAGCAAATAACCATTATCTGATGCATCTGCCGTATTTGGTTGAACAGATGGGGCCATTAAAATGGTACTCTTGCCGACCAATGGAGCGGACAATTAAGAAGTTCACCAACTTAATCAAGTCCACGCATCTTATAGGGGCAAATGCTTCGAACGTCCTTCGTCACCAGGCGAATTATAACAAGATGGCGGTTAGATGTCTGCAGTCTATTCAATTCCCTGAATCTACGGATCGTCCAGACACCTACCGTTCGCATTCCTCTGGTGCCCAAGTCTGGTGTCCGTTTATTCCTCAGTCTTTGCTTGGATCAGATTCGGAAGAAATATGCTTCGGTGTCCCGAGATCGAAGGTGATTGATGCATTGATATCATATTATGATCATAAGGTTGGGGATGAAATCGAGCAATTGACCTCGTCATCCATTGTGATTGCAAGTCGAGCTTGGAACGATGACTTGGTATTTTCTTCAATAATGGACATAACCTTGAAAAACTTAAAGACAAGAGCAAACAATATTGTCCTGTTTAAGGCTCCCAAAAGTACTGGTCACAGGTAAGCAAAAGACATTTGACAAACTTTATTGGTACTTACAGCATAAAATTTAGATCTACAGGTGACTTCCAAAACTGGAAACATGTTTTCTTTTTTTTGGTATAATTAACACTACTCCATGGAAAAGTAATCGAATCATATGATTTTTTTTCGAAAATATATGGCCCAAACTCGACTATGTTACACTAATTTTTGTGACTTTTAAAATTTATTAAAGTTAAAGAAGTAAGGGGTTTAAGACGAGTAATCAATGTTTCCAGTTTTGGCGCCGGTTTGGATTATATCATTTATTGCTTGCACTTAACCTAATATTTGGTCCAATAACCCTTTGCTTTAATGACTGCTTTGCAGCGACTAGGCATACTGTCTATTACAGCCAAACAATCATTTACAGTAATTTTGTTGTAACAAACATCTGTGACCCGTTCGAACAATTCATTGATTCCTTTTGGTGCCGTAGGATAATCATTCAGCTTTCGATTCAACAAGGCCCACATATGTTCAATAGGATTTAAATCCGGTGATTGCGATGGCCAGTTCATGACGTCATAGTCTTGTTGTTTCAAGTAATTTTGTACCTGTTTTGATGAGTGTTTCGGGTCATTATCTTGCCGAAAAATCATCTGGTTTCGATTCAAAGATAGATTTTCAGCTGTCATATCTACGCTTTTGTCCAATTCGTCACGTAAAATATCCATATAAAGCTCTTTGTCCATTGTACCATCAATTTTACACTTCCAGCCAACACCACTGGCACTTATGCAGCTCCAAATCATGATGGATCCACCTCCATGCTTGATAGTTTGCTTTACGTGTCTAGGCTGAATCTCCTCAGTGTCTCGAATCCAAGCCCTTGTGCGACCATCGGAGTTGAATCGGTTAATTTTAGTCTCATCGGACCATACCGCACGTCTCCAGTCATCAATGGTCCAGTTTCTGTGAGCCTTAGCCCACTTAAGGCGGTTTGCGACGTTTGCTTTTCGTAACAGAAGTTTTTTGGCTTTTCAATTGCACCTAATCCAAACACTTTTAAGGCCCTACGAACGGTTTGAGGTGACACACGCTTTTGAATGTTGTTCTCCAAGACCCTTGCGACTTGTACAGCATTTTCCTGACCACCCCTGTTAATTTGCTGCACGCAGTAACCTTTTTCGGTCTGACTTAATAGTGAAGGGCGTCCACCTTTATCTTTTTCTCGATCAGTAACGTGTTCGCGAGCAATTCGATTGATGAGAGTGTGACTAGTTTGAGTCTCCAGAGCTACCTGACGCTTGCTTTTGCCTGTTTGAAGAAGTGAAATAATATTTTGTAATTGGTCATTCGTAATTTTGCGCATCTGTAACAAATTTTTTGTAGGTGCTTGTAGCCATGCGCAAATTGAGTTTAAAACTTACCTTAAAATGTAGTTAGCTTTAAAACAGCTGAAAATTAATTTAGGCTCGTTTTTATTCGATACATGACCGAGTTGTGGGTCATTTTTAAATATTTTCATTGCCTTCCAAAACTGGAAACATGTACAGGTCATGTTCAATTGAATACTGTGATCGCCAAAATGTACGTCTACTTTCCGAAATTATGTGAAAGGTAGTCCATGGGATGTTTATGACCTCCAAAAATTATAAAAGCTTTAGCATTTGTTTTCAAAGCATAGTAGTTGCTACATTACAAAATTTGTAAACATGTTTCCAGTTTTGGAAGTCACTGTATTTCCATTTGGTTTGTCGGTGTGGTTCACTGCTACTTTACACACAAGCAAGAAGGTGAAGAAAACTTTTTGGCTATCGTTGAAGTAATGAAGCAGCAGCAATTCGACGCTCACAATGTTGTGACAGTTGCTCGGAATTCCAGGGGTGACAGATACAAGAAGTACGCTGTTATTTCCATTACAGACATTCTCCAAGTGGTTGGTCTTGTACGGTATTCCGATTCCGCTAACTTTTTCAAGGTTGTTTGGCCGTACATTAAATATACTGACAAGGTTAATCATCTTCCTGCTGGTTCTTTAGCTGATTTGTAAGTTGGTCGTATCTTTCTCTCTTTTGCGTAGACAAGTTTTATTATAATTAAACTCTCTTCAACAATTCATCTAATGGAGTGATTACTATTTTATTCAATCTGATGTGTTAATTGGCAATGTGTTATTTGGCAATGCTTGTAAAAGAAAAAAATTTAAAAATAGGAAAGGAAAAAAAAAAATTAAATAAAAAAATTATATTCCGATGGTTGCGTATTTTATCCACCATGTTGCGTCTTTCCGCAACGTGTCGCGGAATTCCACTACCGAGTCCGCGGCTGTGTTAATTACATACATGTAGCTTTATTTGTTAATAACCTTATCAACTCTGTTTTTATTATAGGTTTGTACTTGCCTCCTAAAAAGTCTCGCACGTCAACAGATTTTAAATCTGATAAAAAATCTTTGTACTTGCCTCCTAAGAAGGCTCGTAAAATAGCTGAATGTAGTATCGGTGAGCTTAAAGCCGATTTGCATAATGATGTACAAAAAGAACATTTATTGGATATATTTAATCCAAAGGGAGACGGATGGTGTGGATGGAGAGCTGCAGCTAATTTTTTCGAAGGCAACCAGGACAACTTTCCTGTTGTCAAAGAAAAAATGCTGAAGGCCTTTCATGCCAATAAGGAAAGCTACTGGTCCTTGTTGGACTTTGATAAAGAACGTGATCTGGAGAGGTTGATCACGAGCGGTACCAACTGGGTGGATGGTGATGGTGATGCTGAATATGGAGACTGGTTTACCACTCCTGAGTGTGCCCAAGTTGTGGCCGATGCATATGGGATTCCTGTGGTGGTTTTTCCTTGTGGAGATAACGAAGCTTTGACTTTCCTCCCGCTTGCTCTTCCAAAAAACACCAGCATTAAGCCCCCCTCTCCTCTCCTTTTGCAAAACGTCAAAAACCGTCACTGGATTAGTCTCAAGATGAAACATACGTGTAAAAACTGGCCGGTTGTAGTGGATTGCTACCGAAAGCATCCCAAGTGTAGCAAAAGTAGGCTTATAGAGGATAGTTTTGCAGAAAAAAAGGTAGAAAAAAACAATAGGATCAATTAGAATTCTTGTCAGAGTTTATTGATGTTAAAGTTAACTGAAGATTTAAGAAGAGGAAAAATAAAGAGTATTTATAATAAATGGAATGGACGAGGCTGAGGATACTACTCTTAACAATATGAGTATGCTATCAATAACAATATCTATATTGGACAATTAGTGCTACGCATAGTCAATAGAGAAATAATAACAATAACATGTCTTAAGTTTGGACATTGGTGTTACGATACCGTGACACTTTAAAATAGTGACCGGCTTTAGCGAATTCCTTTTTTATGCCTGATCATGATTTAGCTATCATTTATCAGTGATGATGAGATATGAATTTATTATATGTACAATCTATATGTGTGATTTAGCACACCAAGTACTTGGAGATGTTCAAGACGTACTGGAACAAATGGGGCCAGTTCCCAAAACATAAAGAAAGAACCATTGTTATCCCGGAAGATGCTTTCATCATAGCTGTATCTGATGACAAATAAAAATTTCAATGCAATCTTATAGCCGTTTTCACAATTGAGCTAGAGCTACAGAATGAAATCACCAATGTGATCATTTTTTTCTTGTTGGTGTTAATAGTATGACATTACAATGTTAATTTGTATTCGACAGGTTAAAAACGTTTATCCCGATTTCTTTTTCATCAATCGTATTCAGGACGTATAAAGACTTGATATGCATAATCTTCACTCATCAATATTCCACCTCAAGTATCTGAACTGCAATAAAAAATTGATCAAAAGGACTGCTTTTCAGCGTGTAAATTATAAAACCCAATAGAACAACTTACTGCCAGTCCTGAAAAGTCGGTCGAAGTCGACTTATCTTTCACTGAGATTTAAAATTGTCTGCTTAAGCCTGACCACACACACTCTGCGTTTAATAGCTCCAAGGTGCATCAACAATAGGTAAGACATTGCTATACTAATGGTAGTTTATTTCAGAGATATGAAAGCTACAAGAAGTACTAAATTAGTTCCGTATTTTAAGTTTTTTTCATCCTTAAATGACGACTTTGAACATGCGTAATCAACGTTTAACAGCTGTAAAGCTGCCTTAACAGGTTGCTTCATTAACAGATAAGACTTTACAAAACAATCTGTTTATTTTGTATGATTTGGATATAAGGTACATTATACAATCGACATATCTCAGTTTTTTTTTTTTTTTTTTTTTTTTTTTTTTTTAAGGGACGCCATTGATATTTTAAATTGTCCAAATAAAAAAAAGCCACTTCCTTTTCACCTTATTACAAAAACTTTACAATGGGAAAATCGAAAATCGCCTTATGGCGCGAAATGGAACAATTTAAGCGACAAATGCTTTTGAATCCCGGTTACGAACTTACAGAGAGTGAAATCGCTTCATTTCAACCCTCTCCTCCCCCAAGACGCCAACCACGTCAAAAAGCTCAGGCACCGAGTTACGATCCATGTCTGAATACCCAGCAGACGATGACAACAATACGAGCGTCGTCTTGCATAATTGCACCATGGACCCTACACCGGCTCCAGCACCTCGCAAGCGTCGACGAATCCGTATCCGTTCGTCTGTACCTATCGTTAAGGCTGTACCTGCGAAAGTCAGTCCTGCTGAAGCCAAGAAGGAAAGGGCTATCAGGTACCAGAGAAAACTGGAGGTTTTAGCCAACAAGTGGGGCAAAGTGCTTAACAACATGTGCGTTAACTACCTTGTTTTTGTTGGTCAGCAAGGTGGCTTGCCATCCACCGAGATTGTTTCTCCAGTTGCAATCGATTGACAATGTGGTAGTGAAAAAGTACTTCTGACAAAGACCGTCAGAATGTACTTTTTCCATGGTAAAGAGCAAAATATTCGACAAAATACTAGTATACTCTAACCCTGAATATAATTTTGACATAGCCATCAAGGATGTATCAGTTAGTTACTGCAGCTGTAAGCCCTTGGCAGAAGCATTAATTTTGATGGGTATGTTTCCTGCTTCGCCCACAGACCCCAAAAATGCCATTCATTTGGGTTTGTTGGGCTATTTTAATGAAGTTCGAAACACCTTGAAGTCTTCTTCTGAGGGTATTACAAATTTGTATAAGAACTTACAAGAAAATCCACTGGTAATTAATATCTTAAAATTAATATTCATATTGTCATGAACCGCTTAGGTTTCAGTTGCATATTATCATGCAAAATGTCTCAGATCACTATTGAAACCCAACTAACCCATTGTCCCTGTTCCACCTGTTCCCTGTTCTCTGTCTCCTGTCACACATGTCACTGTCAAACATAACTATTGTATCCCGTCTAACGTCTCGGTTCCAAATAATGTATCTCCGTTTTCCCTTGTCCTTGTAAAACCCATTTAACACCCGTTTCCTTTGTACCTCTGCCTTTGAACTCCCTTGTAAAACATTAATAATATCAGCCCATGTTATCATCTGCATCTATCCCCGAAATTATCTGTATCTATGCCCGCTTCCCCAAAGATGTCCCAAACTCAATATGACTAATAATCTGTCTCTGTATATCTGATCCCCGAACCCTTGTTTACCCGACCTGTCAATTAATATAAATAACAGCATGTTTATTTATTCTTATTTCTGTATTCAAGATCTTATCTATTTTTCCTGTTTCTTTGAATAAACCTTTTTTCTACCTACATTCCTTTTATATATATATTAATACTAATACATATATAATTTCTCTTTGCCTCGTCCCTCACCTTAATAATCATTCTGTTCTGCTCTTGCCCCGCCCGCTCCTGACACATATATCTAACCAATATTTTTGGGTAGACATCTTTGTCAGTGAACAATTTCCGTACTGTATTTAATATGTACAACAAGGTCATTTTGTTGACAGACGAAATGGTCAACGAGCGATCTTTGTTGAAAGATCAGGCGATGTGCTGTCCTGCTTGTCCTAGTGTATGTTTCCGTATTAAATTATAGATAAAATGAAACCATAACCATCTTTTGTTTTTAGAGGGACTCCATTCACCCTATGGATCGCATTTTCATTACTATGGATGGGTGCTTTAGTATGAAATGTAAGTCGAAAGCAAGTCCTCTTGATCAACTTAATTTGGTCAACACCGTGGAGAACGCTTGGGTGAAGCCTGAATGTGTTGATCTTTATAAGAAGGAAAAAGCTCCCAAAGACGTAAGGATTGTATATTCGGGCGAATTTATAACTAGAGTTACTGATGGTTTTTTTATTAATAGGCTCTCATGAATGAGAACACATTCAGAGCTGCAGGTAATGGCGCCTCATACAAGTCAAAGTTGTATCCCGTAAAAGGAATTTTTACGGCTTCATGCGCGCGCCATGACCTCACCCTAAAGATGGTGGATATGGATAGTGGTGAAGGGTATGTGATAAACATGCCAAAAACATTATGTACTAATCCTAATTTTTTTTTTTTTTTTTTTGAAGATTCAAATATCCACTATCAGTTCTCCACGAGCTGTTTCAGGAGGACAAGGACAGCCTTGTTACGCCCGTTAATTTGATGTACGACATCATTTGTGTCTTGGAGAAGTGGTTGACGGTAACATCTTATTCAATATTGTTGATGCCTAAATGCTAATGTATTCTTATGATAGACTCACTTCCCGTACTTGACTGCTTGTCGTATTTGGGTATGATTTATTTGAGAATAAACAAATAAATCGAATAAAATAAAAACATGGAATAAAAACATCCTTTAATATTGAGTAACAGCATACACCTGTATACTGCTACACAACGACTCCTACTATGAGTACATATTTCTATATAAAAAGATTGCATGATTGGCTTAAAATCGATATACGAATGACAGTTGGATATAAAATTCTATACCACTGAGTTACGATATCACCGGTCGGGAAGAGAAGCTTCTCCGATCAAATCAAGAAATATAAGAAAGAGAAACTTAATATTAATAGCTCTCTCAATGGATTAGCTACCCATAGAGAGAATAGAACAGCTATTTATATAAATGGTTCATTTACTTATATATTGATAAACCCAACTTATACGACTGTAAGTGTATAAGAGAAGTAGTGCATGGAATATTTGGATGCCTATTTTCTACAACTAAATATACAAACATCGATAAGATGTTCTATATTTAGGATCACATATTTACCCATGTCTTAGATAAAAATAATCAACAGAATGGATAAATGATCAGACATATCTACATGTTCTACCACAGCCAATTAAACACAAAAACCTTATGCATCTTTTAACTAGCCACCGTTACACAATATCTTACTGGAATTCTGTATTTTAAACCGAACAATAAGAGTGTCCCAGATCGGTTGATTCAGGGCGACGTTATTTGAAATCAATTCTAACGAGTAGAATTCATTTAATGTAAGGCGGGAAACTGAGTATAGATTTATTACAAGACCAGAAAGGTTGACTCAACACAACTACCAGGGGAAGTTGTTCAATATAAAAAGGATCAATTATTTCATCGCAGCAGAGTTCTTTTAGTCTATTTTTACCTCGAATAAAGATATACTTTTTTCTCATTACTTTTTCTTTGTAATATTTTTGTCAAATACCACACTGCTAACGGCACTCTTGCACTCCCCGTTTTTCATGCTTATGCGCATGTTATTAGCTGTCAGTCCAGCTTTAATCCTAAAAACATTGAATCGTACGGCAGGACTGACGGCGAGGCATCGGAACGTTTATGGTCTTCACTCAGACCATTCGTCACTGTGATAATTTGAGTATAAAAAGGTAGAAAATAAAAGATAAAAATAACAAGTAAAGAAATGAGACTCTTTAATCCTTTATTATAAGTTGGAGAGTTTGTCATGATAAAAATAGAGGTCCTTTTTATATTCAATTATTACTTCAAGATTTTTCCTGCGCAGATCGAATTGACTATTTACCCGCAAACTGGGAAATGGTAGAATTAGATTTAGAAATCAGTTACATATGAAACATAGCTTATTGTTATATACAAGGAGCTAGTTGACCCATATCCGGCACTTCTAGAGCATTATAGTTTATCCATTCAATGACAGGGTCCTTGATTGGATTACTAAAATAAATTTATGAGAAACTAGAAGATTCGGCAGCTACTCGACCAATCCAGGAACGATTATGAAATCTGATCTCAGTTTGACATATGAGGGAGCTGGTACTGTGTCGTACCAATAGGAATGTATTCGCAATATGGTACTTATAATACATAGGTTATATGTATTATAATTGAGTGACAAGATAAGAGTAATTGTATTCGTGGAATTAGGCGTCAAATACGACAGTCACCATTACACGTCCGATGTCTCAGGCCAACAGAAGGCTGACTCTTACGTTGGCCATCCGCCATCGTAACATGGAAAAAAAATGGGGAATCGGTAAGATGTTGTTTTTGTAAAGGAAATGGTGCATATCACTAACGACGTTATTTTGGTTTATAGCAAGTGTCTTGTACGGGAAGTACAAAAGTACGAAGAAGATCCTGGCGGCAGGATTAGTGAAGTTGAAGGATGTCAACCAGGAGGAGATTTCGTTGGCTTGGGAGAGGCATCTGGCGTTGACTCGAAGCGGCAAGTCGTGCAGCAAAATCTGGAGTGATTTGCCACCATCATTGGGATCTGTAACAAGATTTTATCTTTTGGAGTCGATCTTGTTCAGATTTAGGTAATAATGAAACGATCACTAAAAATATCTAAATTTAACATGTCTTTTTTATCACAGAGTTAAAATGTACGAAAACTCTACCGGTACCAGTAATGCAGCCATTGACAGATTAGATGGTGTATTAACGGTATCGGCCAGTGATGGTAGTATCAAGGTAGCTGGGGAGACCTTCTTCATGCAACAAATCAAAGACATCGAGAAGAAGCAGGAGAAGGTCCTTGATGAAATTAGGCAAACAATACCTAATTTCGTACCCCACGCCTACGCCGACTTGTCCGCTGAAACAGCCCAGCTCTCCCTTGGATCTTGGGAAGATTTCGTCCAACGAAAAAAGTTGCTTTTCAAGGATGCTATGCGCGCCAACCTGCAAGCTTACAAGTTTACCACCAACTTGATGTTCAAATCTGGACATATTGGTAAGTCCTAATTTTTTGTTTGTTGTTATACTTAAATTCTAAATATTGTAATACGTTATAAGGTACAAAGCTTGCAGGTCAACATGGCAAGGCCCTTGGAAAGCAACGAAAACTCCTGGATGACCTCCTGGACATCTACAACCAGGAATTCCGTAAGTACAAAATTGTTATTCGAAGTTTAGACTAGAGTGCATCTTCATTGTAATATACCAAAACGTAATCTGTGACATTTTTGAGCATTCATCTCCGACTAGTACAAGTAATATAAAAGGAAATTTATTTATAGCCAGATTTTTTTAATGTGGGGAGAATTTTTTTTTTTTTTTAAGAAAATTTTTCAGGGAAATATATTTTATTTGGGGGGAGTCTAAATTGGTTTTTTTTTTTTTTTTTTTTTTTTTTTTTAGATTGAAAGTCATCAAGGAGCAACTAAACAGCACGTCTGTGGGATCGATATTCTTTGGAAAACTTACTGATAATATCTTCAGCTTCCAAGACATCGTTACCCTTGCTGTAAGCGTCAATATATCTATAGGCACGATTATAATATCGTCTATTGATTTTAGGACCGAAAACAGCCTCATCATGGTCAAGAAACTCTTCGATTCTTGACTTCAGAGTGTCAAACGAGTAATCACATTCTATTCGTGCAAATCGTTTAGCTGCACCCCAATGTCTTTCAATCCAATTGCACTCACAATGGTACTTAGGGTATAGGGTAAAAAGGTGACCAGCCTTGGATGTTTGGGTCTCCAGCATATTCTTCTGGGCCTTGAAATCAGGTTGTTGTGACAACAAGTATTCGGCACAACAGCCAGGTTTAGCCTGAGGGTCGTGTGGAGTACCTCTCACACAAACCCTTCTCAGAGGCTCATTTCTGCCGAGCAGGCCACGTTCTCTCAACAGACGGAGAGTTCCCTTGAACTTCTCACGTTTCTACAGAGATAATGATAATAAAGATGTCAGTTCTTTATATATTAATGTTATATTATTAAATTTACTTGTGCGTGTTGGTACTTTTCGACAAGTGCATTGGTATCAAACGCCTGTCCTTTGGCACGCCGTCTGTTTATCTCCTTCATGGCGGCATCCACGTTCATAGATTCCATGGTATACATACTTTGAGGCTTGATGATGCCGTTTCTATCTACATAAGTGGTATCCCGAAACCTATACAGGGTAGAAGACTTTACTTCGCTAGTCCCGGAAGTCATCCTCGAGGCAACAAGAGCATCGTCCGCAAAGGCTCTATGGTTCGAGCTCTGGTCAAAGGCAAAGATACCAACACAATTAGGATGTAATTCATTGAAAAGATGAATTACATCATATAATTGACACGTCAGATCTCTGTTTGTCCAATAACCATCGCCGTTACTGTTGCCAGGGAAGAAGATGACTCTTGATATCAAATTGACACCATTGACGGTACCTCTCATTGTTCCGTGGCAGGGACACATGAATGAACTGATCATAATAGATCTTCCTTGACCTTTAGGAAGAATCATGGTTTCGTTCTTCTCACACCAACGAGTGACTTTACAATCATTTGAATAAAAGATTGATTCGTCGTGAGTAACTAAAACCATCTTTTTTTCATTATCCTTTAGGCTAGGTTGAACTGGATCAGCATTCTCATTATCCAAGGGATAGGTTTCCATACGCTTATGCCATTCCATCATTTGTTGGGCCCACTTAATTCGATATCTGACAACATCATCCCGCTCATGGCCATCAAAGTATGTTCGATCCTTTCCTACACACATATCCCCAAAAATATAATCAAGCTAAAGCATTAGTATATATGCTAAGTTTTTACATATTGTATTTACCTGTTTTATAGTCAAAACCCCAAGCCTTCAGGTAGGTTGCCAGAGCAACGTTCGACAATGGATGCTCTGGCTGAGAGGAAATGACATCGGCACCGGCCTCGACATCATTCTCCAACTCAAGTAACTCAGGGAGCACTTCTTGTCGTATATGCTGACGAAGAGCAGGGATACTTCTACGGACAGGGTCTTGACTCCTGAGCCAGGTGATGCATCTTTCCTTCACATCAGGATCACTGAGAATTGATTTTCTCTTCGCATGTTTTCCTTGCTGATGACATGGAATGTCACCAGTGTTTAGCCAGGCTTCAAACCACTTTCTGGCAGCACGATGACGATAGGATTTCGAAGCTTGGATCCAGTGCATGTTTACCGCAAGCTTCGTTGCTTCCACAAAAGTTTTACCGTCTAATAGCTGCAACATAACATGCTTTACAACCACGTACTTCAGAAATTGTTTAACACCGTTGTGGTGTTGGTCGCTGGTGGTATTACCAGAGATACGGATTTTTGATTCCAAAAGGGGCAAAGACTCGCGAATCTTTACCAAACTTGCTTCGTCGGGTCTTCTGGGTTTCTCCTTCTTCTCTACTTGAGGTGGTGTAGGAACCTGTTGAACCACGGGGAAAAAATCATTAATCGAACGACAGCCTACAGCTGCCTTGGCTGCAGCAGATCTCTTTCTACTGAGCGTCTCTCTTGTAGGGAGAAGTTTACGCTTAAACTTCTGTTCCCCGGTTTTTTCGGTTGCGTTGCTCCAGGAAATGGGGAAAGCTTCTGCGTTGACTTCTTCTGGTCGAGGCATGTCAGCGATTTCGGCCTCTTTGGCAATTGCTTCATTAGCAATGTACTCAGCAGCAGCAATTTTTTCCATTTGAATGAATTTAGCCTTTCTTCCAATGTTGATTCTTTTTCTTGATTTAGCCATAATGAATATTGATATAGATATGTAAATTTATAAAAGTAATTTTAAAAGAATAATTACAAGGTACAAAAATAAACCCAAACTTAGTTTTAAATTCACAATTCTATTTGTCATTTTTAAAGCTCCCGTGAAGTAATACGCTCAAAAACAGTAACCCTTTTGACGCGTTTTTAGTTTTAAAGAACGTTACATCTAATATTACTGAAGTAAACAAAGTTTCCATGTAGTAGACGTTCTTAATTAATGTATATCCGATTTCAAACATCTTTTTTGTGTTTTACACTTCGCCATATTTGATCTCAGTTTAAAATTAGCAGGTTATGGCACTGAGTACTTTATCTAATGAATATGACCTTTCAAATACATAAATTAAATTAAACAGCTAGTTGGATCTATTTTCCAAATACTCTAAATTATATCTTTTGAATATGAAGTGTTTTTACTTAGTACATAAAGTTTGTTTTATCCTTTTTGTGCCTTACAGTGTTGATCATATTTGATCTCAGACTCTGATATAACGGGTTGTGGCACTGTGTACTATATCTAATGGATATGACCTTTCAAATACATAAATTAAATTAAACAGCTAGTTGGATCTATTTTCCAAATACTCTAAATTATATCTTTTGAATATGAAGTGTTTCTACTTAGTACATAAAGTTTGTTTTATCCTTTTGGTGCCTTACAGTATTGATCATATTTGATCTCAGACTCTGATATAACGGGTTGTGGCACTGAGTACTTTATCTAATGGATATGACCTTTCAAATACATAAATTAAATTAAACAGCTAGTTGGATCTATTTTCCAAGTACTCTAAATTATATCTTTTGAATATGAAGTGTTTCTACTTAGTACATAAAGTTTGTTTTATCCTTTTGGTGCCTTACAGTATTGATCATATTTGATCTCAGACTCTGATATAACGGGTTGTGGCACTGAGTACTTTATCTAATGGATATGACCTTTCAAATACATAAATTAAATTAAACAGCTAGTTGGATCTATTTTCCAAGTACTCTAAATTATATCTTTTGAATATGAAGTGTTTCTACTTAGTACATAAAGTTTGTTTTATCCTTTTGGTGCCTTACAGTATTGATCATATTTGATCTCAGACTCTGATATAACGGGTTGTGGCACTGTGTACTTTATCTAACGAATACGACCCTTTAAATACATAAATTAAAATAAACAACTAGTTGGATCTATTTTCAAAATACTCTAAATTATATCTTTTAAATATGAAGCGTTTTTACTTAGTACATAAAGTTTGTTTTATCCTTTTTGTGTCTTACAGGGTTGACAGTAAATGTCCTCAGACTTTGATTTAATAGGCTGCGATACTACGCATGCGGGTACTCAAATTGAGAGTACAGGCAGTAAGCATTTCATGGTCCGAAGGCGGCAAATACTATACGCGGGACAATACTATTGGTCGGAAAAGAAAAATTTAAAATTTTGAACCTGCTTGTGACAATTTTTTCCCCCAACACCTAAAATCCAGTTGTAAAAATCCCGGACACACTTTCTTTTTTAGAATAAAAACTTCATATTCTCATTTTAATCATAATTAAAATAATATATGTCCAAAAATATTGGACTTTAATTATGAGGAAAGTGTGGTGGTCCAGTTTTAACGTTTCTCTCTGCTTAAAATTTTTTTATGGCATATTGAAGTCCAGATGCACTCTACTGAAATCTTTATTATAGAGGAAGGTGTAACTGCCGCAACTTTCCTGGATGGTAACAGCCAGTTTTGGGGGATCGATCTCCACCCTTTAACGGAAACATGGTTGTGTGTGAGGAACGCTGAAGAAGAAATCAAACTTCTTAAGGTAAGTAAAGCATTATCGTCAGATACATTTGAAATTTAACTTAAGAAAATATCATACCAAAACAGCGTGAAGCACACAACCTGAACTCCAATATTGAGGTGGAGATCAAGAGGCTTACCGAGGCATTGGCTCTCAATGGTGCCGAATTGGAGAGGGCAAATGATGCGGAGGAGAAACGGTTCTTGGAGGGTGTAAAAACCTTTTTGGTAAGACAGCTGGACCAGAGCAATAATTGGAAAACGCACTCGAAGCGACACCTGGTGTTGCTGAGAGTTGCAATTCCTACCATTACTGACTCTGGATTACAGTCTGACACTGCCAGACTCCTTGATCCGACCGCTGATGCCGATGAGGATGAGGAATCCCTGGATATCGCAGCGGAAGGCAATGAGGATGAAGAAGAAGAAGACGATGAAGAAGAAGACGATGAAGAAGAAGAAGAAGAAAAAGAAGAAGAGACTGCAGCTGTTGATAATGAAGAACAATAAAAAAATAAAAAAAAATATAATAAATAAAAAAAAATGCTCAAGCTTAACAATAATGTCTTAATTCCTTCATGGATCATTAAAAGCGCAAACTTTAGGCTCGTGTACGATCATGATAAGGGGCATATTTGTTGAATGCCGCCGAGGAAATTGATCTTTTACCAGAGATTTAATTATAAGCTCGGGCAAAAAAAAAAAGGGGCACCCGAGTATGGATTAATAAAACGACATTTTTTAGGCTCATACTTTTTTTTCAGCAAGGATTAATAAAATCTTAATTATATAAACGTCGAATTTGAATACACTATAAACCAGAATTATTTTAAATTCATATTACAAAAAACCATCGAATTACATTCAATATGAATTAAATACTATACTTAAATCAATATATAAATGTTTCATGGCTTGAGCGATGTATATAGTATACGTATAAGTTTTTTTTTGGATCATTTGTCATTTTGAAGCTCTTTTTTGACATTCATGCTACAACTGGAAAGACAATCACTAAAAGTATTAGCACCATCTGAAAGCTACAAGAAAATAGAGTATAACTGCATTTAAAAATACAAAATTAAACATACTTTTTTTTTTCAACAGGTATAACCACATATTATGCATAGGTTTTTAAAATACATAATTCGTTTTTAAGGATTTTTTATATAAAAACATGTATAGACAATATTTTTTTTTATTTTAAAGCTTATATCATATACTATATGTTTACAGGTTTTAGAAAATATCAAATAAAGAGTACTTTCATCAGAAGGGACTTACTCTACATGTAAAAAACTAATTTGCAATGTTACAGTGCGAAAAACCAAGAAATCGGAAAATGATCAAAATAGCACAGCGGCGCACCAAATGGTAAAATGTTGTTAAAACACACCAAAAACACACCATCATTGATTGCTTAAATGGCCTATTTAAGCAATCAATGATGGTGCATTTTGTGTAAATTTACAATGAATGATTGTTAAAACTCACATTGAATGGTTGTGCGTTATCTCATCCAATGGTGGTTTTTTACCATTATACGCTGTTTATTTATGCATGTATATGGACCTTTTACCAATCGTACATTGCATTATTATTCGCACAGATGCATCCCTTTTACAAATACACACTTGATATTCAACACTAGTTTATTAATTGTTCACATGTATATGGTGCTTACATAGGAAATATGGTTTAAAAAGACGTTTAAATTTTGTTTATAAATGATTTATTTTGAGATTTTAAACTGGAAGCAATTTTAAGTATACTATACGTCATCTCTAAAAGCTATAGGGAATTATTCGCGTGTAGATATTTACAGTACTCACATACTAATAACCTGCTAAGGAAGCAACAGAATCGCCTGACAGACTTACATGTATACAGGTAAAGAGCCATATAGTTCTTAGAAGTAACCTAGAATAAACAGCCTATGATAAAATACGGCCTAAAATAAAAAAAAAGAGCCTAAAACAAAAAAAAATAGCCTAAAATAAAAAAACAGCCTAAAAACAATTAGCCTTATATTTTTTTAAAATACCGAGTTATTGACAGTGAAGTGCTCAGCATCTATACAACATACAAATCAGAAAGACGTATTAAACTTCATAGGCAACCACAATTACCTTAGATACATCATGTTTTAAACATTTCTTGGTGAATATACCTAACAATTCTTAATAAGATAAGATGGGTACACTCACTAGCATTGTAAATTTATTCAAGTTTACCACCTATAACTTATGTTCTTGTAGTGTATTACATGAATTAAAATCTAAGAATTATTTTATCGAAAGTGAAAAAAAGTGAAAGTGAAAGAAAGAGAGGAACAGAGACAGAAAAAAAAACGGGTTTATGAATCTCATTATCACATTATTTTAAAGAGCGAATTATTCTTCTCGTCTTCTTTATTGCAAGGCCCACAACAGCCACAGGGCGATCTACTCCTATATTTGTAGCGGCACTAAACATTTCTTAGCAGTTTTGGGGGGTATGAAGCAGAAGTTTCACAGTTATAATGTTGTAACTTTGACTTAAAGCTCTGTAGGTGAAAAATACAGAAAGTAAGCCCTGATAACAGTAAGCGACATTCTTTAAGCTGTTGGTCTTGTCCAGTACTCGAATTCACTGAATATCTTTAAGGTTGTTTGGCCTCCAGCTTTCTCTCTTCGTGAACTGTAGTCTGTTGCTACCTTTACGTTTTTTTTTTTTTTTTTTTTTTTTTTTTTTTTTCTGAAGAGGGGGTAATAAACGATGACTTGTAAATATTCTTGTATCCAAATTGAGGAAAAAAAAAGGATTTAATTTTTTTTTTTTTTGATTGTGTGTTTTTACAGTCAATTGAGTAATTTTACATTTGTATGTGTAAAATATCAGCTGAGTGTGTATTTTCACAAAACCGTGCGCGGCTGTGTAGATGCAAAAACAAAAGGTTAAAAAGACAGTTAAAATTTACATGTATATAGAAACTTAATTTCTTTTGACCTGTATGGTTTTTGTATACTTTTATTAATAAGAATATCGTATAATGGTCAATACAGACACTTCCTGGATATGCAGATCCCTTGGATTTGATTGGCCCTATTTTATTTTGCAAGGAAATGTAATAACAAATCACTGAATTGGTTGTATGATCAACCCAATGATATTATATACCTCTAAATTTATATCCACATTTAAATAGTATATTTAGAATATAACTATAAAAAAACTGAGATCTTTTATACTTGAAAACATTTATTATTCTTTGTTTTTGTTGAATAATAAAAAGCAGTAATGATCGTGTGTGCTAAAAATAAAGCTAGAGATCGCCCATTTTTTTTTTAAAAAAAAAGGAAATTCAGAAAAAGTGAGGGGGGTATCCCAAAAAAAAAAATCGGACATACAAGAGTAAAATGTTTTTATCCAATCGATGAATAATTGCGCAATCGAATCATTTGTTCGGTCCAATAGAATTAGATAATTTTTTTTCTATTAGAAAGATTACAGCCCCATACCCTGCGAATGTCTACTTTTTCCTCCCCTACACTTTTCAACTTACATGGCATCCCACCTTTCTAGCATCAGGTAGTTTCAACATAGCATTCAAGTTACTATTGGACTTGAACCAAACGTATCAAAAGTACGATGTTTACTCCAATAATGTCTTTATCGTTTCACGTTTAGGCGGCAAGATCCTATCGTTTAAATGAAGTAAGTATAATCTGTTAAATTGACGTCTCATAGAAACATAACTAAATTTCAATAATTTACTTTAGACAGTGTATTGCGTTTGCTGATATATAGACGTTCCCTGCCTGTCGTTGATCTCTGGTTAGAATGTCTCGTTCTGTTTGAGACATTGGAATTTTCCAAACGGAGGAACATGTACATGGGGAAGGTCTGTTTGCATGTTGTACTTTGCAATAGCTATTAGTCAACACTATTTTGCTCAAATAAAATTCTGACCCTTATGTTCATCTGTACACATGTTTATAAAAGAAATACTACTTTTTTCTCTTTTCGCCTTTTACCTTTTACCTCTAACCTAACCTTTTAACCTCTTTATTATTGTACTAACCAAATCGATAGCTACGCATAATCCAAATGGCTATTCCCAGAGATTCCAAACCCGGATGCGACATAGATAGAACTCGTTGCCATGTCTGTTCAAGGGAATTTTCATCGCCATCTAACAGAAACAAGCATGCACTTCGGCTCCACAATACACCCACCCCTGCGAATGTTGGAAGACCCTCACTAGGTGGAAGGAAACAAGCTAACCATAGGTACTACAAGAAAAGTACAACAGAACAAGTCAGACCCAAGTGTGCATTGCTTTTGACATCAGCAAGAGAAGAATTCACGGCTTTGGACAAAGGGTTCTCGTTAGCGCTGTATCGTACTTACCTTAAACAATGGCATTTACAACTCGAAAAGTCCATACAGATTATGACTCTCCCATCACTCAACCATTGGCAAAGCGACTCAAGCTACTGGGAATTTTTGACATTCGAACTCGTGATCCGTTACGTACGGAATTATGAATTGTTCTTTGAGCATGAAGTCTTCTTTAATTCGACGTCTCCCCTGAGTGTTATATATTCTAGCAATAGCTACTCTCGCGAGCATATGGTTGTTTGTCAAAAGTTTTGGACTACCCCTATGTCCAAATTTAATTGTTTACTTAGAGCTTACTGTAAAGCTTTTATGGGATATTATCATGCTCAATAATAAATGGACTTACATATTTTAAATCAAATAAAACATATTGTCTTCGCATTATTTTACGAAAGATTAATAAAGTCTTAAACTAACTTCCAGCCTTACACAATTAAAGAGAGTAGTATACATTTTTGTGTTTATTTTAAAGACTCATACATTTTTGTACTTACTTCAAAGACTCATGGCATTCGATGCGCAAACAAATATAACATGCCATTTTTAAAAAGTAAATTTATTTTTAAAAAACAAAAAAAAAACAAAACAAAAAAAACATTTACCTTTAATGCTCGGCATCAGGGTTTGGAGGTTCTTCCATTCTCTCCTCCGGAAGAACAAATGAAATTTTGTTTCCATTTACGGCTCTCAGGACAGCCTTCATGTTGCTAATTGTTTGCTCTGAAGCGTGCTTTATAGGGATGCCCCGGGCCAACCACGCATGAACAAGTCAGCAGTTCCATCACAAAGCTTTTTGTAGGGAAAGGCTTTTGCATTTTCCGTACCAGGATGTTGTTCTATTAAGTAATAGTTAGTGTTATGGCAATTCAAAGTGAGTAAATGACTTACGGTACATCTGCAAAAGTCTTTCCCTGTATTCTTTTCTTAAAAGATTGGCGCTCTGGTCGTGGACTCTCGCTATTAATTGTAATAGTCATGTAAGTAACATATCCATAAATAGTTCAAAGTGATACGTACCCTTTTTACTGGCCCTTTGGGCAACTCCCAGACGTTGCATCACATTGTCCTGGATTTGTTGGCCCAAATCTTGTTTCAGGCCATTACAGTACGCTATAGATACAGTAATATTAAAAAATTAATAATTACTTTCAACACTCTTTTTGGGCGGCCCCAACTTACCTCCAACGGAAAACAAGTTCAACACGGGAGTTGGGAAGCCATCTTCCGAGGTAGTGGGCTTCAATCGGACAGAGAGCAGCAAGAAGTTTGAACCACAAATCGTATTGTAAGCGGTCAAGTGATCTCGGAAGGACCTGAGTGCCCGGGAATGACGCAAATACATCTCGTCCTCACTCAAATTGGAGTCGATCCGAGCACTCTTCACAAGTTCAGCCTTGTCTTCCGGTCCAAGTGCCTGGTACAATTGGGAGGCCTCTCTCTGGAAACTACCTTTTTAATATGTAAACAATCATGGTTAGTATTTAAGTGAGCATTTGATATAGTAAGAAAAGCTACCTTGAGGTTGGTCGCCAGAGGAAGAATCGGCTTTCTTTTCGGCAGCCAGTCTTTCAGTAAAAATATTGTAAGGACTTTTACGTTTGACTAAAATCAAAGAGGTTGCCGTATAATGAAAGCCAATCGAGGCCTCAGCCTCTGCCTTGGTGACATTTTCTTCTTTGACCAAGATTTCTGTTGTTTCTTGAATCATTTCTCTAATCTTAGCGTTAAGATCAATGATGCGTTGCTTGTTGATTTCTGAATAACTTTCCATTTTAAAATTTTTTTTGGTAAATAGGAAACGGTGAAGGGCAGCGAGTAAGCCCCCCTTGTAAAAAAAGAAAAAGAAAAAAAAAAAAAAAACCACAGTCCCCTGCGGTGCTGGGTGCTGTCCGGGCAGATCAAATGGGTGTGTGGCATAGTGACCGACTGATTTGAACTGATTAGTCTATTGTTCATTGTGATCCGAAAACTCGACATCGTTTAATACTAATCTAGTTGTAGATATACTACATGTACAGTCGTTGTTATATTTTTAGAATAAAATTCTTATATCTTTAAGGCTTATCCGTTAACTTAGCACCGTTTAGTGCAGTTATATAGCTGTATAGCATGTTTGCAGCGTCATATTCTTCATATAAGTAAAAACAAAGGCGAGGAATCTGTTGAACTTTACGACCGCTATGTTTTCTGTAACTATAAGGGCATCCTCAATGACTTAAGAAAGTAGGTGCTCTCAAGGTAAAATTCGAAAAGCCGGTGGACCCCTTTTTTGGGTGTGAACGGATTTTTTTAAATTGAACAAAAAAATAATTTCATCGATCAGGTGATGCCGTGACGGTTCTTCACTTTCAAATTTACTAAAAGACCTAACGTGATTTTATTAATAAAAAAACGGAATATTCCTTTTCGCTTATCTTTATTTTTTTTTAAAGTACCTATTTACCATGAACCCAATTGACGAAACTTTTTTCGATATAATGCAAGAGCAACTTTGGATGGGAAATGGTGCTGACCGTTTTGAAGACGAAGATCAATACTTCGATGCCGTGATGGAAGAAATCATTAGAATTGACGAAGAGTTCGATTTAGAAGAGGAAATGCTTGAACAAGAGGTTGCCATTGCCGAAGAGAACATTATTGCCGACTATGCTCGTCTTGAAGGCAACTATGACGTTTATTCCTTGTTCCAACTTTGGGTCAGAGAAACAATTTTGCATGCAACCACTTTAATCAACTATGACATCTTTTATTACATCTTCATAAGCAACCCTGGGATGATGACCCGAGAATCGCACAGAAGGGTTGTTAGAACCGAGCGTATGGACACGTACGAAACATACTGGACGATAAAACATCCCAACTTGAACGACGATCGTAACAGCCGCCATAGCTATAGAGCTCATTATCGAGTCAACAAGTCGACCTTCGAGTGGCTCGTCAATCGTTTGAGTAGATGTGCTGCTTATCTTGGGTCAATTCTGCGAGGTGGTTACTCTGTAGAAGTGCAAGTTGCGTGTGTGCTTTGGAGATTTGCTAACACGCATTTTGGTTATCGAATTGCCGAAACTCATCTTGGAGTAACTGCCGGATCATTCAATAATTTCACTAACCGATTTATTGATGCCATGTTGGAGATTACTCCCGAACTTATAACATGGCCCATCGAAGATAGACAGAGAGCTTTGAACAATGCTCGTGAGTTTGCAGAACTTGGTGAACCTGGTGCTACGAGACTTTCTGGTGTACTCGGTGCAATTGATGGCAAGCTGGTTGTGATCCAAAAACCAGCAATAAATGGAAACGCTTATGTCGATAGAAAGAGTCATGCATCCATGAATTTGATGGCAATTTGTGATGCCCGTACTCGGTTTATGTACGTAAAAACTGGGCATTCCGGTAAGTTCATGTGGAAGGATAAAAAAATGATACAGCAGCTTACCGTTTGTTATTATATTAAGGCAGAAACCATGATGCCAGAGTATTCACAAGCAGCGTGATTTATCACAAAATTTTGTTGGATGCGGCCAGATGGTGTCCTGCAAACACTTATATTTTGGGAGGTAAGTTCATTAATTATTTTAAGGTATACAAAGCATTAACGATGAGACCTAGATTCGGCTTACCCTTTGCTGCCAAATCTCATTGTTCCATTCCATGGCCGACGTGAAAGCACTGCGGAAGAAAAAATTTTCAATGCAACCTTTTCTAGTTCTCGAATTAAAATTGAACATGCATTTGGTGGGCTCACGTCCAGGTGGAGATTCCTTTGGAAGCACTTGTATATGCTCAGCGTTGATAGAATGGCTAAAACCATCATATCTTGCTGTGGTTTGCACAACGTTTGTGTAAACCAAAATGATATCGAAGAGGCAATTTTGGATGGAAACTTGTATTTTGAGGGATTTGTTGAGGCAGACCGTAGAAACCAATTTGAAAATGAAGTGAACTTCGAACCTCCGCTTCCTTTCCTCGGTATCGATACTACCATTGATGCTGCAGGTATGCGCCGTATTAAGGCAATGTCTATCTTAAGAAGAAACAACATCATGAGGGGAACAGATAGACTTGCTTAGTTTTCAAAAGGTTTTATTATATTAAATATATTTTTTATTTAATTATTGTTGTCAGTAGAAGATGAACCAAGATTGGTATCACTATCGCCTCTTCGAATTGCTGCAAATCTATTCATAATAGTCTCCATATCAGAGATACGTTTACGTCTATCCTCTTCCAAATCGGCCTCTCGTCTACTTCTTGATTCTTCTAGCAGTCGATATCTCTCTCTGGACTCTTGTCGTCTTCTTGTTTGCATATCTTCCAATGCAGTCTGTCGATTACGACTGACCCTTTGCAACATACTGTCAAGGTCACGAATTCTTTGCTCCCTTTCTTCCCGTTGTACCGCTGCCATTCGATCCATCATCTCTACACCGAGTTGGCGGGCATGTGCCATATGCTCCTCTGACAACTGACGAGCAGCCTCGATGGGATCAAAAGTTGACGAAGACTGCTCACCAGAAGTTCGATTATTTCTCGAAGTGCGGGTTGATCTTGGTGGAGGTGGTGCGGATGTAGGTGGAGGTGGAGGTGGTGCGGATGTAGGTGGAGGTGGAGATGGTGCGGATGTTTGTTGAGGTGGAGGTGGTGCGGATGTTTGTTGAGGTGGAGGTGCGGATGTTTGATGAGGTGGAGGTGATGCGGATGAATATGGAGGTGGAGGTGGTGCGGATGTATATCGAGGTGGGGGCGTTGCGCCTGTCGATGCTGGTGGTACTGCGGATGCTGATGTTGGTGTTGGTGTTGGTGGTTCGGTTGCTGGTGTTGAGGTTGGTGGTGGTGCGGATGTAGGTGGAGGTGGTGGTGCGGATGAGGGTGTTGATGGTGGTGCAGGTGCAGGTGCTGTTGATGATGATGGTACTGAAGATCCTTCAGTGGGGTATCGATTGGCCAAAGCTTTTTGGATCACAAGTTGATCGACTTCCGTAGGTGTCAAGTACGTAGTTTCGGGACCATCGGATCCAATGGCATCCATTAAATCAACGTCGTTTGATCTTCTATATGATCGAATGCCATTCTCCTCCATGTTGACGCTTTCGTAAATTACCTCAGGTTGGATGCTAGGATCATCCTGAGTGATCTTGGCAATTTCTTCATAGTATGGTATGTCTGGGACAGTTCCACCAACTCCTGTTTCTCTTGCTGCATTTCTGGCTCTGGTGAATCTGGCTTTCATGTCTTTCCACTTGCGTTGCATACTGAGATGCGTGACATTTGCTATAAAAGCCCTGACTGCATCGGTGTCTGCATATTCAGCCATCTTTTCTTTCAAGAGAGCTGCCGAATGAACCCAGATAAACTGTTTCAAGGCAGTATCTCCTCTTCTCAACAAGTGATTGTAGGTGCCTGCCATGATCTCAAGAAGGATACAAATTGCAACCTCAGGCCATACGTTGTATGGACGTGAAGGCCCATTGTCATCTTCGACATTAGCGTTGTTGTTCTCAGCTTGGGCATTGCTGTTGTTGACAGGAGTGGTGTTGTGCTGAACAGTAGGTTCAACAAACACAAAGGTGCCAGCGTGTCTGCCACGTCCGCGTCTACCTCCACGTCCATTTCCACGACCACGTCCGCGACCACGTACGTTGTTGGGTGTGTTGTTATTTGCTTCAGTGTTGTTCATAGTAAGGTAAGTGATAAAAAGTAGTAATAAAGTAAAAGGGAGGAAAAAAATAAAAATAAAAAAAATGTGGATTTAAAAACTTTTGTTATTTTATCATTTCCTTTTCAAGCGAATAATTTTGAATGTACCATGACTTTGATCAGATTTTTATTTCCACCCATATATGTATGTGTGTTATTTTGCCCATTTTTAGATCGCTTTTTCAAGCACTTCTTTTACTATTTTTGTAGAAAAACTGGGCAATTTATTTTCGGTTTCCGATCTTGAGAGCACCTAGTGTTGAATATCAATGTAGTAATATCTTACAGCTACTAAACGCAGAGTGTGAGCCTTCAGGCTTGAGCAGACAGTTTTGAATCTCAGAAAATAAATGATGTAGACTTCGACCGACTTTTGTGGACTCACCGTAAATTAATGTGTTAGAGTAGATTAATTTCGCTGCTAAAAGCAGTCTTATTGATTAATTTTTTATTGCAGTTCAGATATGTGTGGTGCAATATTCATACGACATTAAATCCCAGTACAATTATAATTGTACTGATGACGTCCATTTCGAGATCTTTCAATAGTCACCTAATTAAGCATCCGCAGTAATTACAAAGAAGCGATCCCGGTAATAAATGAACCTTCTTCGCTTTTTAACTTTATTAATCATTGATACCTACATCATATTTTTAACTATGTCCGATAACATCAGCTCTATCAGCCCAAACGTTTTTTATTTACCCCCAAGAGTAGACAAGAGAACTCCTGAAGAACGTGAAAGAGATAAGGTCGCTGTGGCAAAAAGTGCAGCAAAAGTCGAGGAATTAAAGTCTCGTTTGACGATAAAAATGCATCAAGACGACTTTGAGCCTGGGCAGCTTAAATGCCCTGATTGTCCCGTTACTTTCAGCAACAAAGCTAATCTTTACAAACATTTGGCTAAACAACATAGGACGCAGGTAGAAACCATCAAGGGGCGTTGCTACAAAGGTGGACGTCGTAATGCCAACCTCAGATATTTCGAAAAAAAGAAAATCGAAAAAACGTTGGCGAATCAAGATTCAGATTCTATGACAGCAACTCAGCTTCGTAATCAGAGATACTACCGCCAAAAGATGTTGAATGAAGCAGTAACAATTACGCGTGCTCATATATTAAGGGGTTTCAGTTTTAACCCGCAGACTGGTCGACTTTTTTTTTAATGTTTTGTGACTTCGAAATCATCCAATCAAAAAGACGAAAAAATTTTCATGATTAAAAAAAAACGCGACCAACTATTTTGTTGTTTGACTTTTTCGACTTTTATTTCGACTTTTTTTTTAACGATTGAGTTTGAAGAAACAGGAAAATAGTTTCACAAATCATGCAAAAATATTATTTATTCGAGTAAAACAAATCTAATATATCTCTCAGAACAAGTCGTTTTTTTTCTGGAGTATCAGCTTCCAACAAAGCACGGGTGTTTTTACGACGAAGTCTGACCTGTTCTTCATCTACGGACTTGTCTTCATCGTCATCCTCCCTACGCATTCCTTCAGAAATCCAGCTTTCATCCGCCTTGTCATTGACTGCTATCAAAAAGTTGTGAAGGATACAGCAAGTGTGAAGCCACATAGAAACCTTGCTGACATCCTCCCGAACACCGATCGGCATACGCATTCCACGCAAACTTTGAAAGCGACCTGTCAGCATTCCAATGCAATTCTCAATGTTGACACGAGCCCTTGCATGTCGATAGTTGAAGGCTTTTTCTTGTCGGTTGAGTTCGCGACCCTTGTTGTTCTTGATCACAGGAATGACTTTCTTTGTATGGGCATACGCAAAGTCAGCCAGCACGTATTCTTCACCAGGCAACTTCTCCTCTGCCTTGCGCACGAGAGGACTTCCATTCAATACGCGGGAATCATGGGCGCTGCCAGTATAGCCAGTATGGACCATCGTAATTCTTCTCTTGTGATCGCAGACAATCATGGCAGAAGTGGAATAAAAGGATTTGCGACACCAAAAATCTTGACGACTCCATCTAGGACTGTACTCAAAAGGAAACAAAGAGCCGTCGACAAATCCAACACAACCCGTGAAGCCGTATTTTCTTTCGATTTCATGCTTGATCTCTTCCTTCTTGGTAGCATCAGGCCATGTGAGATACTTTTTCTGAAGACATCCGATTACAGCAATGATAAAACGTTTCGTAAAAGTGACGACTGAGCCTTCTATTTTACATGTATTTGTTAATATATTTTACATATGATAGCTCATATTTATCGTTTTAAAAGACCTACCAGAAATACCAGCGTTTCTTGCAATTTTTCCAACAGAACCAGCATTACCATGGACACCTAATCGCTCCAGTGCAACCATCATCTGGATTTTCAAAGATGTCTGAGCTTTGACACCAGTATTACGGTAAACACGATGTTCACGGATCATTTCGTGTAAAATGTTGAACGATTTCAGGCTCATTCTAATTTCTTGTCGTACGCTTCCAGTATCGAGCTTTCTTAATAGACTGTACTTAGCATATAGATTGAGCTTGGGAACCTGGTTTCGGGTAGATAGGTAGCGATTGGACATGACAGCGGATAAAGCGACTAGAGAGGCGCTTGGGGTTGCGGTATCGTCATTGTCGTTGTCATCGTCATTTCGTGTTTCGTTTCTACGGATTTCATCCAAAGCGACCATCTTCTCGAGGTTTTTGATCAATAATTGACGTTCAGAAATAGCTGGCATCTTCTTTTTTTTTTCGATAGTTTTAAAAAATAAACCACTAAAAAAAAATAGATCATTAGTATATATATACTTGTGCCTTGATTTGTGTACCCCCAACTAATTATGTGTCATCAAATGTCACTTTCGTAAACCGATCCGAATCCATTAAAAAAGAAATGCAACTATATATTTATGAAATAAAAAAATGTTTATTAAAAAAAAATAGCTAATCCAATTTATTTACTTCAGCGAAGTACTCCTCCTTCGTTATCAACTTATGAGTAATAAGAAGACCAAGATTTGCCATTGCAGCCTGTCTACGTTCATGGGCTTTTTGAGCCCTATCAGCTTCCTCCTTGGCAATGAGGCGGGCTCCTCCCTCTCTTCCATTCGTTGGCGCCATTGTTGGTCAGCCAGGTCCTTCGCAATTCTTGCATCAGCTTCACGTTCATGCGTTCTTGCACGCTTCTCAGACAAGGCATTGGCTCTCTCGCTCGACTCTAAAACAGCATCAATAATTGAATTGCTTGCTGATCTTTTCTTTTTGTTAGGATCAGCAGAGGCAGTAGGACCATCAGACGTGGTAGAGGGAGAAACAGAGGGAGAAACAGAGGGAGAAACAGAGGGAGAAACAGAGGGAGAAACAGAGGGAGAAACAGAGGGAGAAACAGAGGGAGAAACAGAGGGAGAAACAGAGGGGGAAACAGAGGTGGCAACAGAGGTGGCAACAGAGGCATCACTTGGTACATCCAAGTCAGAAACAGCAGCTTCTCCATTATCAACACTCACCATTGCAATTGGCGCGAGCTCGTCTTCATCGTTAGTGTTTTTGTTGAACATAATATTTTCAACATTTTCGTAATCTTCATCTTCATTGAACGGACGAGCCTCACTTGCAGCAGTGTCGAAAAAGAAGGGCGCAATCTCTTCGTATTCCTTGCACTTCTTCTTGCAAACAGCTAAAATTTAAATTCATTTTATAAGTCATCGAAGTTAATGCATTTTTATATTATGGTTTACCTAAGATGGTTTGTTCTTGTTCTGCACGCTCCGTATCGTTTGAGGCACTGTTAAGGAGGCCTTGACCTGTCTGATTTCTCCACGTCTCGGCTACTCTATAAGCCTTGATGATACGGTTGATCTTGGATCGAATTGCGGCAGTATCACGGGTGGTGATACCCAACTTTTTGAATTCCTTCAAAATAGAAGTGAGCAAGGTTGGCTTCGTAATCTTTGATCCTCTTTCCCCTCTCCATGCACTGAAGTTGGAAGGCGTTGTAAGCCAATTCATCAAGACATCAATGGAACAAAGTCCGTCGGGATTCAACTCATTTCTGGTAAGATGATGGTCATTGTACCAAGTGATAGCTGCAGGAGCACCAGTAGAAGCGGCATGGGATTCGGTGTTGTTGTTGGAAGTAGACATTTGTTTAATAAGTAAAAAAGGTTACGATGGTTATGTCAACTGATAGTAATAACGTATTATATATACCGACTTTTCCTGGTGTAAAAAACACTCTTAATGTGTCATAACCACAGTCAGTTTTGATGTGTCATACTTACATTGACAGCTGATGTGTCATAGTTACAATGCCCTTAATTTTAATATTACTCATAATCAATATACAAACTCAGGAACAACTCTATTCGCTCGGATTTTTAAAAAAAAAGTCGTTCAAAAAAAATGAAAATAAAAAAATTATTTTGGGGATTCAGTTCTTTAAAATTTTGCAAGCTTTTTATTGGCTCTTAATTAATTAACCGAATCGTTAAAAAAAAAGTCGAACAGTCCGGCGGGTTAAAACTGAAACCCCTTATTGGATACACTTTTTGTGGATTTTGACGAGGAGCTTTCCAAATTGTTAGGCGATAAATTAAAAATGATCAGAGATTCCCGCAAATTCCATTTCACTAATTATTATGAAGACATGGAAGTACAATATAAGCTTATTATCCGTTATACAGACGTACCTGATACGTACCATAGCCGTATTGCCACTATCACAATTATATTAGATTTTCTTCACTTGGTTTTCCCTTCCAACATCAAGAAGGATTACGATGCAAAGCGTGTCGTACCAATGCTTGTCGGTATTGATGTGGAAGATATGCCTGAGACATTAGATTTAGGGGAATCAAACGAAAAGCACAAAGATGAATTAAAAAAATTCCTTTTCACAAAAAGTAACAACCTCGGAACATGCCGTAGAATCATAATGTCTAAGCTGACTATGGAGCTTCTTCACCGTTGTTTTGCTGCGAATGATTACATATACGCCAGTGTCAGATCAAATTGTATTTCTTTTCTTAGCCTCTTGGGTGAACCTTTAGTTCCTTCCCCAACTTCAAATACAGAATAAAAACTACATTATATCTTTTTTTTTAATAAGTTGATTTCCACTTAATTTGTAAGACTTTTCGATTCCCAGTCAAAAGCCCACTTAAATTTTAAGATTTTTCGATTCCCAGTTAGTCAGACGCCCACTTAATTCTTAAGACTTTTCGATTCCCAGTCAGCCAGACACCATTCTACTTTGATTCCCAAGGCAGAAAAAAAAAGACAAGCACTTCTCTACCACTTAATTTCTAATATTTGAAGCTTTTTGGTGTACATTGTTTGTTTCGTATACAAAATTCAAGTGTATATGGGCGTGCAATCAGCGCTAAAAAAATACGGGTGTGGAAAAATCATGGGTGTGGAAATGCTACGGGTGTAGAAAAAAAATATCCACACCCAAATATTTAAGTCTCAGCTGCTAGAGTCGTATACCGGGTGTGGATATCCCAAAAAGGAAATATTACCGGGTGCGCGTTAATGGCTTTGAATTAACATCACTTTGACGTGCACTTTGTGTAATAAAAAGGGCGAGCGAGTTCGAGCTATCGTATTCGCAACCGAGCCGAGCTTAAGAAACTTCGAGGGAGCTCGAGCTGCAAAAAAACGCATCCGAGCGAGCTTCGACTGGAACACGACCGAAGCTCGCTCGAGAGTTTCGATCTTTATTCCGAACACTAGCCGTACTCTCAGCTTGAATCTAATCTTGATCCCAACAAAGCAAGATTCAACGCCAAGTTCAGTGCACTGCGCCAGGTTGTTGAAAGAGCATTTGATATTCTTGTTGAAATAGTCGATTAACACAAGTATAAATACGAGACAGAAAAAAGATGAACTTTATTAAAAATAGGATAAAACCTGATATTTAAACCAGGCTCGGAACTTCAAAGAAGTCCCAAGTATATGTATATTATACTTCAACTACAACACTTGTGAAGCGATGGAGATTCCT